TTTTTTTTTTTATCACTTAAGAATAATTATCTAAAAGCATGTATTTTGATATGAACTATAAACTATAATTATTGTTGTAATGATTATCATAATGATAAACGACTAAAAAAATGTATAAACGAACGACARCAATTAATTTTAAATCTAAAAAAATGTTCAGGKATACGGTTGATTGCGACATTTACTTTACCCATTTCTTTACATCACATGCGTCATGAGAGCTTCGTTATTCAGGATTATTTATTTGATTCGTTATTGTTGTTATTATACACTTGCTTTACACTTTATCAGAAAACGTACATAATTGTTTTTGTCGCCACGTGCATTTAACTACCAACTAGTTTATATAGCTAGTTGTGGTAGTTACCTCTCAAATTATAACGGTATTGCCTTGATCAAATTGCCTATATATTATTTTCTTTATATAGATAAATTAATTATGTTGACGGCAAAATTAACAGTCATTATTCCGTGACGGATACTCATGACTAAATTCGATAACCAAACAAAATACAGCAAACAGCAAGCTATACAATTATTATCTAGTTATAACCACTACAATAACACAAATATAATTGATATAATTACTTCAAATAAATAAAATTTAGATACACTAATATCGTAGATATTATATTATATTTAATTTTGTTGTAACGACTAACGAGTAAATAGCTTCAACCACTTTAAAACGTTGAAATAATAATAATAATAATTCTAGTTTAAGAAAGGTTAAATTAGGACTTACTAGTGGAATCAATTCAAATTCGATTTGCAAMATTTTAAAATATTAAAATATGACATAAAAGCTCATTTACCCTAATGGGTTTCGTTATTGAAATTAAAATAAAACTAAGAAAATGTGAATTGCATTTATTATTATAACTTAATTATTAGATAAAATAAAGACTATAAATGTTGATAAATTTCAATCAATGTCAAATATTTTTTATTATAGAKTGTGGTATAACTTTTATTATTCCAATATAATGTCATAACCTGTCATAAGTGAGTTCAGGACAAATTTTAGTTTCAAGAGAGACACATTATTTCCTCATTAAGAGTCTTTWAAACATTTAAATTAACATTTAAAAAAACTGATATACTTATATGTTAACTGTGTTTTCAACCAATTTCAAATAACTTGGTTAAATATGTTGTAAAATAAAACAAAATGTAGAAACGCAATGTTATGAACTTATGAATGTTTCAATAATTATTGTAATTAGATTAAATATTTAAATATTAATCAGTCAAAGTATTTAATTTTATAAGTATGTTTATTTATTTTTCTTTTATAATTAAAATAAATATAATATAATATGCAAGTCTAAACTTCTTCGTACAATACTGGACTCAATTACTGCGAGCGAAAAAGTTATTTAAATGAAAATATACAACAATCTTAATTGTGTGCAAGAATATAAACCGTTGTTATTTTGAATGTTTAGTTATTAAATATTTGAAATTTAATACTATAAAATATATTTTATCAGTTTTTGTAATTTTATAAAATGTGAAGTGAGATATTCATCAACTCTAACAATTGAATTCGATCATTTATGATTAAAGCACATTTATTCGATTCAAAGTCATCATTCAAATATTTAACAAAATGTATATAATGACATAATTTAAATAATACAWCAACAAATAAGTATATTTTGTAATTCTTATAGATTATTAAAGCATCTGTTACAGTAAACTTACCACAAATATAATTTATATTGTTTACTYTATCTACCTACAGTTAATAGCTTCRTAATATAATTTTATTTAAGTCTAAGAACTTAAAATCCAACTTAATTTTGAAGATATCTATTAGTGCTAACTATTATATTATAATATGACGTTATAATATTTCTTTAATTTGTAAATGCACTGTAGAACTTTATTTTTTGTTGTTATTTGAAACTAGTCAACATCATTCAAACTTAGTCTTCACATTAGTTATACGATTTAATTTTTGAGTAAAATTTCATATTTGTTAATTTAAAAAATTGAATTTTTCATGTGAGTACTTGGTGGAAATTATGTTTGATTTTCCATTGCACTCGATAGCGCCAATGGAACTTGCTATTTCCGTTTCCTATTATATGCCAGTAACCGGAAAATATGTCTCGAATTAGAATTAATCATTTATAGTACTTCGTTCTCATCAAAAAAAAAAATGCGATCATTCTATAATAATATATACTAACCAAAACAATTACTAATTAACAATGATTATTAGATTATGACAWCCTAACGGTATAAAGAATGTCGTAAGAAATTGTTCATTTTTAATTTAAGTTTACTATTATTAAAAAATCTCGTCGTAAAATATTATTATTTTTAAATATTCAAAGAGAGGTAAATTTATTATCTTTTAGAAGATGGAAAACTTACACGACGTTTATTTTTTTTTATTGTACATGCCTTATCGAATAATTATGTTACCCTTTTTGTATCAACGAACCGGAAAATAGTAAAAGTTCMTGTCGCGGTAATTATGTTGCTAATATTGCATCGACCTGAATAAATACATTTTGGACCTTCGGGCCGGATGGTGTTGTGTATTAAAAAGAATCAATTATTATGTCGATTGCAAGTAATCTTGATTATGAATTGTCTAATGARAAGTCGTCTCAGCTACGTTAGTACGTCGTCGTGAGCAAATTAAAGCGTCTCTTACGAGGGTGTCCACGTTCGTCGATCGGTTTGTTGAATCGGTTTCTAATGTTGCCGAGGCAGTATCTAGGCTTGCTATGCTCCCGAGAATCATGACCCTGCAGTTCGAAGACGTTCAAGGGTGGATCGAAGAGCTGGATACCAAACACGACGAAGAACATATTGTTACCCGTGACGAATTCGAGTCGCGGTACCACCACATTGCCGGCCAGTTGCCAGTTATCCCGTTGTGTGAAATCATCGTCTACAGTTCAACACGGCAGCGATTCGCTTAACGCGTCGTTACAAAGTACGTCTATATTGTCGCGTACGCGATCGCTTTTACCTGCGTTACCATTAGAATCATTCGACGGCGATTATGCAACATGGTAACGGTTTTTAAATTGTTTTATGTCACGTGTCGGAGGAGGCTCGTCCGTGTCAGAATCGGACAAGTTTCACTATCTTAGATCGTGTTTACGTGGCGCGCCTTTGGATTTAATCGACGCACTGGAAATCAATGACACTTCATACGAGGAAGCGATTCGAGTGCTTAAGGAATGGTACGAGAGAAAAAGATTAATTACGGAGTCCCACGTTAGGTCACTGTTGGATATGCCAAAAATAACGGGTTCAACGTCATTAGAACTTCGGTAGCTTTTATCTAAGTTCACCAAGCACATCGAAGCTCTCCGCTCGCTAAAGCGTCCAGTTCAGCACTGGGACGACTTATTGATCGGTATAATACGTAGTAAATTGGATCTACGTACATTGGAACAATGGGACTTATCAATCAAGGTAACTGATGAAGTGCGGATGCATTCATGGCGTGTTTACGTAGATTTATTTCTAGAAGCGGACTACCATCACATATTTGGTCCGATAATGGTACTAATTTCGTCGGTACTCAACGAATATTGCGTCAATATTATACAGCGCAACGTACTGGTCATACAGTACATGAAGATTTAGCGTCCGAAGGTTTACAATGGATTTTTATACCACCAGGAGCRCCCTATTTCAGCGGTCTACGGGAAGCGGCAGTAAAATCTTGTAAGTACAGTCGCCGGCATTAATCTAAACTTTGAAGAGTTATGTACAATACTTACTCAAATTGAAGCATGCCTCAATTCAAGACCTCTTACTGCCTTATCTCCTGATCCATCCGAGTATCGAGTGTTGACACCCAATCATTTTCTACTTGGAGGGTCTTCAGAACTTTTACCASAGCCTGACGTGACCGATGTTCCTAGCAATCGTCTTAAGAAGTGGATAATGCTTCAAAAGCTCCAACAAGGGTTCTGGCGAAGATGGCGATGAGTATTTATCCTCACTTCAAGGGCAAACCAAATGGCTGAAGAAATCTGCTAACATCCAAATTGGTACTTTGGCTATCCTCGTAGAAGATAACGTTCCGTCCCTAAACTGGCGAATGGTCCGAATCCAAGCAGTCCACCCAGGTTAGGACGGAGTCGTGCGGGTTGTAACAGTGATAACGGCTAACGGATTCCTGATGAAGAGACCTGTGACTAAATTATGTCCACTACCCGATGACGTCTGATCGGATTGAACACAGTGCTTCAAGGGTGCCGGGATGTCGCGGCAATTATGTGCTGCAATCTACCTTTTGTTTATTATTATGTGTAATTGTATAGGTACGCGATTTTGCATATCAGCTGATTGCTGAATTATTTATAATTATTATKATTTAATCATAMTGTTACGGTTAATTTTTGGTGTGGTTAGGTATTATCGTATCGCGTGTGTCGTGTGATATGTTTGTTTTTTTTTGTATTCGTCATTGTATTGGATTTTTATACGTAGTTTTTGTTGTAGTAACATTATTTTTTTGGTTTTTCATATATGTACTTGTTCGTCGCACGGGACGACAAGATCACTTGTAGTAATTTATTTATATTTATAATTTATAGTTTCCAAGTGTCAATACAACACCGTTTATGGTTTGTTAATTATTATAGACACATATTTTTATACAGTCCACTAGTTATTATTTTATTAATACGAAAGGTGTCGGTTGCTAATATTGCATCGACCTGAGTAAATACAGTTCATAACACGAGCATAGTGAATAGAGACGAGGTACAAAAGTATAAATGATGACTAAGAACTTTTCACACCTTCAGAACAATTCGTCTTTTTAATGTTTTATTATATTCACTCCAAAAAGGTTTGCCTTTCGGCTTTCTATAGAACGCGTACAGTAAGTTAGACTATAGTTTATTTCTCGTATTCACAGTGTATAACTTTTATAGTATTTTAAAATAAATTAAGCACTAAAGTGCATTACTTAGGTAATTATTTATTTTTTTTTTTTTCAGATAAAATCACAAAAAACAACTGTATATCAGTATTTTATGAGTCAGTAAAATTTCATTGTGTACATTTAACAATAATTTCGATAATTTTAAAATACAGTTTGAAAATAGTAATTACATAGCAGACATTTTAAGACAGTTTAAGGTACTTAATTTAGTTTATGCGAACAAACATTCTGGAATATTACAATAAAGTTAATTTAAGCAATGTGAAAAAAATTATGGAGCCTAAATGTAATCATAATCCTAAACTACATATAGTACTCAAACTGTTTAAGCCAAATGTGATTTCAAAATTAAATAAAAAAAGTCTCATGAGTGTATGATACGGAGTTTAGACATTTAGACGTTTACGTGTGCGCACCAAGAAATCTTGTAGAATTTAATTTTAAAGTATTCTAGCTTTTCTTGCAGGACATGAAGTGGGTATGTAATAATAAATAAAAATATATTTTAATCGGTTTCCCAAATTTTAACTTAAGTTTTTATTACCCATAACGAGTTTTTTTAAATTCGCCTATTTTTACCCAAACAAACTGGATGAACAATGATTTTCTTACCCTCGCAAGACACTCGAATCACAGGCTGTATTATTGTTTTCTTGTATGCCTGTKTCTCTTTAATGTGTTCATCCATTGTTCTAAACAAAGCTCGAACGCTTAAAATTTGTGCTCTGGATTTYCATTTGATTTAAATGTCCCGATAACCGAAACCAACTTAGGTGATGATCAATTCAAACAGTTATAAGATCTGGTTTACAAGATGATATCATTATTTCAATCGCTGTCATTATATAATATCTCTTTGGAATGTTTCTTTGAGGGTAATTATTTTTTTCTTGCTTACGTGACCTCGAAAATCGGTAAACTTTATTAAAACTGTTAGAGTCGTTAACATRATTTCGGAACTGTTGTATCGACTATGAATATTGGGTAGGTTCAGATAACTTAGCGGGAAATTATAGTTAGGTTAGGTAGGTTAGTATTATAGTGAATGTGTTTGTGCGTGGGTTTGTGGGTATGAATGAATTCGATGATTTGTGCCCGATCACTTTAAGGTATAAACGTGGTAAGACGCAATGTAATATGTAGGTAGCAATAATACTAATGTTAAAATACGTCTTTCGTCGGGCGAGACAACAACTGATGATCGTGCATCGCTACTATTATTGTATCCACCTACGATTGTGATACACCAGACATGGTGACGATAAAGATGACACTAATGAAAATGAGTGGGATGAATATAATTAAATCAGTTACGACTTTTCACGGATCATACATGAAATGGACCATTGAAAAAAGAGGTTCACATTTAATTGACATGAAGCTACACGACTACGGAATACGTGACGTACCTACCTACTATACATGATGTACTAATCTGGAGGAGTATATTATACGCTGCACAGTTCATCAGTCAACAAGACC